TTAAGGCATGGGTCGAAGAGAGAACAGACCTAATCTTTGCCAGAATAAAGGATTCGAAATATTAAATTCGCTGTATGAAGTGTATAGGGTAAGTGTGCCTAAGTTCGGCATGTCCCAGTAGTCGGCACTTTTTATTTATAAGCCCAAATAAATGAAACTATTATAACTAAATATATTTTGTTTATTTCAAATATAATTGTCAGCTATCTTTGTGCACAATTTCGCTAAGAAAAGATGAATTATTCTAATAAAAATTAAATTTTTGTCTGTGAAGGTCCTCAACAATTCATATTCTTAAGAAAAGTACAATAAAGACGTCGAATCAGTTTAACTAAACAAAAATATTATATTTTAATGAATGAATTTATTATAATTATTAATTATTCTTACAAAAAAATTGGTATGCCGACTGTTGGAAAATGCCATACCGACAATTGGCAAGTGGTGCCGACTACTGGCAAAAAAGCATTGTTTTAATAAAACTACAAATTTGTGAAATTTAATAAAAAGTTATTAGAACTTTATTTATTATTGCAAAAACTATACAAAATTTCGAATCTGAATAAATTAACTTTGTAATAATTGAAATGTTCCCCTCTGAATGGTGAGCGTTTAAAAACGCGAAAATCCTAAAAGTGCCGACTACTGGTACACTTACCCTATAAAGGTTGTGATTTTGTAATTCATTAAAAAAATAATAATCTTATTGTCAGCTAAATTTTTTTAATATTTCGTGAATGGTAACACTTAGTGGATGTCTGATTTAAAAGGAAATTAGTAGTATTCTTCGCCGAACGGTGGGAAATATTGCGATCATGAAAACCATTGTAATATTGCAAAGTCTGTGCAAACACCGTGAACTCAAAATTGTCGCATGCACACAAAACGATGTACCCAAAACGATGCGCCCAACACGAGACACTGTTAGATGCGGTTTTTAGTCCAAAAGTATTTTTTTTTCGAAAATCAAAAATTAAAAAAGGACTTGCAAACTTGGAACAATACTCGATGACTCTTTTTTTATTTTTATGTCATAAATTATTTTCTTTAGACAATTTGACCTTCTATGTTGAAGGAATCAGAAGAAAAGGACTGATATTTGTATATCCAAACTCGATTTAAGGCTGATTATAATACTATCAAGTGATTCTACCTTTAAAATTTTAGATTCGTTCCAACAGTTCGCGTTAGGCCTTTTTAGTACTCAGAATGCACAATTTGCTTAGCTTGCCAATATCTTTTAAGGAAAGCTCCATACATCGTCACTCTCTAGGTTTTATATGTTATTCAAGTTTATGGAAAGAATAAGTCTTCAAAATCTTTCATTTGGAGATTAACCGAGGAGGATATTAGTAATACCATTGCACAATGGACCCACATCCAATTTTTCCGCCAACTTTTTTCCTCCGTCCAATACCACATTAATTACTATTAAGTACTTTTCGTACAATTATAGTACACATGTCCGAAACAACCTCCAAATCTCAACTCCAGATACCAGACCCCAATACCAAATTTTAGGATTTTGGCACTATTCTTTCGCCCAATACCTGATTTAGTACTATTTAGTATTTTTCGTACAATTATAATATGTGTTTCCAAAACCACTTCCATATCTCAATTCAAAATACCGACATAAATCCCAATATCAAATTTCAGGATTCCAACTCTATTTATTCACCCAATACCAAATTTAGTACTATTTAATACTTTTCGTACAGATATAGGACGTATTTCCGAACCACTTCCAAATCTCAAACACAGATACCATCAGTAATCTAAATATCAAATTTCATATCCCAAATTTAGTTATATTCAGTACTTTTCGTCCAATTGTAGTACACATTTCCGAAACCACTTTTATATATCACACTTACTTTCCAACCTTGATCCTCATAACAAAATGGTATCAATTTAGAAGTTTAATACCATTTTGGAACTTTAAAGTTCGAATTTGTTACATCTACCCTACACTCCATCAGTGACTCTCATTCCAAATTTCAGAGTTCTAGATCATTCGGTTTTTTTTAAATACAAAGTATTGAATTTCAGATATATTTCAGTACCTGTCGTACCCTTTTAGTACGAATTATCAAAAACCCAAGCTTATCACAAGATTCTAGCTTCAGCCGTTTCCTTTGAATGTCGTTGATTCTAGATCAGCCAGTCAGTTGTATCACTACGTTTTTATATAGTATATATATATATATATATAGAAGCCATACACCCAGAGAAAAAATGACAACATCCGTGTATGAAATGACCACATCCGTGTATGATAGTGTATCAACCACGTTTGGTGTCAAAATGAGCACGCCGTTGTCATTTTGACACCGAGATTTTGGCAACGATTTCAACAACAGATGTGCATGAAATGAGCACATACGTGGTCATTTCGAGCACGCCCCGTTGTCAGATTGTCAACGCTTCGTTGTCAGATCGTCAACGCTTCGTTGTCAGATTGTCAACGCTCCGTTGTCGGATTGTCAGATTGAAATCAATGGTGGTCATTTTTTGATATCCGTTCCTTTTCCATTTTATACCCTTAGTAGAAGAAACGAAATTTTTTGAAAAGTATTTTATTTAACGAAACCAATTACATAAATTCAATATAAATACATATTTGATTTAACAAAACAATTCGAATTACATATATTCAATGTATAGAAACAAATTAAATTAACTTAAATCTGAAATAAACTTTTCCATTATTCATAGGATATAAGTGAAATGGGTAAGTAATAAAATCTAAAATTGGTATTAAAAAAATTGTATCCTCATTCAGAGAACCAACTTCATACGATTGTAAATGATAATCAAAGTTTTTAACTTTTACTTGGTTACATAAAATGTAAACATTTTCATTTTCAATTATTAAATGTTTAATTTTGAAAAGTTCAATTGCGGCATTATTTGTTGCTAAATAATAGTTTTTTTTATACCTAGTTCCCTTAAAAAAAATGTCATCAGACACTTTGCAATTTTGGTAATTTAAAACTGGCTTACGTTTTTTGTAACAATATTCCTCTTTTGCCAAATCTTCGATGGTATGCGTATTAATGATAACATTTGGTTCTAAGTTATCTTCGTGTTTTAATAAAAAATTGGAAAATTTCAATCCAGACTTAATAGATAATGAACGACAGGGATTTACTCTTGATGTAGTATTTCCTAAATAGGCTTTTGCTTCCTTGTGTTTAGCTTCGAATCTCATGCTCCAGAGATATTTAAGGGGACCACATTTTCGGATAGCAGTGGGATAGTGGACAAGAAAGTGGTGTTTCGGTTTTAACGAACCGTATAATGTTATATAAAGTGAATGGTGATCTCTAATTAATTCTTCCAATTTTATTAAATCGTCTCCTATATAACTTGGTCTTAAAAGTAAATCGATTATTTGTAATAATATTATAAACACTTTCCAGTGATCGTTGGAGAAAGGAATTAAATCACCTACCATAAAAGGTAAAAAATGAGTAAAACACATAGTTTCACTAGCTGTCATTTTTAAGTTATAGTTTTTCAATCTACATAAATCTAGTGGTCCAGATTTATTTCCCACTTCAATTTCTCCAAATTGGAATAAAGATTTTCTGCTGTTAATACAATCTAACGTAACAATATTTTCTTGAATCAGCCCGAGAATTACATTAGACATATCGTAGACACAAATGCCCTCGAAAATGTCATGCATAATATCAAAACAAAAATTTTCAGTGACGTTAAAATTTGGTAAAGATTCGAAGATACACTTGTTTTTAATACCTGTTTCTTGAAAATTATTTTCCAATACATCTGAGTTGTAATTCTCTTGGTTTCTTAAACCATCTAAATGCTGAATTGCGTCGGATTGCATTTGGGACTTTTTTCTTCTACATACCCGGCAAAATCTTTTAGAGTTAAATGATTGCACGTAGCCTAAAATACTATTAACTGCTAAATTATCTCCAATAATTACACCTAAAATAAAATGCACCTTCTGAACACTTTGTTGAACACAAATTTCAACCCCTTCTTCTAGAATTTTTAACTCCTCTACAAGATTGTGAAATGAAACTTCATTTCCACGTTCTTTTAAATCCTTTGATGGTATAAACGCAGCAGTTAATATATAATCAAGTTTTGACAACAAGTGCTGTGGCATTGAAGGAAAGCTAATATAACAACCACATATGGAAAATGTATGGGTTCCAAGAGGATTATTAATTTGAAAATCATCCATGTAAAGGACATAGGGAATAACTAAATTGTACTGATATTTTAATAATTTAGTTTTATATAACTCACCGTTTGTAAAATTTTGTAAAACAGGTGAATTTAGGAATTTTTTGGAGTTTTCTAATGTCAAATCTAAGAGATTTGGAATTTTAAAAAGGGCACTTATCATGAATTTCAGTGGCATTATATAAATATTGGATAACTTTGGACCTAAACTGGGATTTCCGCTGATAACAATTTCCGAGACTTGATTGCTAATTACATAAACCTTTGGATCATCATAAAAGTTTAGTTCTTTTAAAATTTTTAAAAGTCTATATTCCGTTCTAGTTTCTTCGAAAGGATTTTTACAAAAGTTTAGTAAGTACCTTAAGTCTTCATAATTTGGATGATCAGTTATATATTTTTCAATTGTACTTGAAATGGATGAAAGCAGAATTGAAACAGAATGTTGTATTTCTATAACATGATTTCTAGGCATATAGCTTTGACCATGTAATTGTAAAGACAGATATAAGGTTTTCTTTTTCATAACATCTAAATCCTTTTCTATTGTATTGTTGTTAATAACAGTTTCACTGTTTGTGTAATCATTTTCATTTGATGATGACATTTCAACTGGCACATTAATGGCTTTAGCCATTGGTGGAGCTTTTGTGTGATTCTTGTGAAGTTTTTCTAAATGAATTCTGAATGACGTAAATTTTGTAAATGTTTGCTTACAGTTGTCCTGAACGCATTGTACTTTTAAAAATTTAGTTGACATTAAATGGTCTGTTTTCAAATGAGCTATTAAAAGATTTGCCTTATCAAAATGCTTACGGCAACGAAAGCAAATATACATTTTGAATCGAACTTTAAATATTGTTGCAGAAATTAATAAGTGAAGTCAAATTAACTGATTTTATATCATATACAGTATTAATTTCATAAAAATATTTTTGGATAAAAATCCATGGAATTTGGCAGGCATTTGGATATTTTAAAGAAAGTGCATGAAAAATTTTAAAACATGTATCTAAACATTCGAGGAACGATTGAAATTTTAACAAATTGTGGTTAAAAAAAACATAAAAACCTTTTATATTGAAATCGGACAAACCCTCCACAATTATAAATGGCTGTATAGTTAATCCAGCATTGTAATACTTTTCAGTGACAGTATCAATTTGCCTTTTATAATCGTTAATTGTCGGTAGTCGCAGTACGAAACTTTCCTGCGAATCGACTATTGTTACTTTTTTTCGTAATTTACCGTTTCCACATTTAAACCTAGCAGGTGATGGTAAAACTGAATTCAACAGTATTGCGTATATATAATCTTGAGCATCTGCAACCGAAATATAAAATAAATATTACTTTTAATGTTTATGATAAATCAGGAATTAAAATTTACCTATGCTGCTTGCCGTCAAAACATTTGCGAAGAGTTGTTTGCAATGTTCGTTATGAATATTTTTCCCATAATAATTGTAAATTTTTTTCTTAAATTGGTCCCATTTAGAAAGTAGAAGATTGCCTTTCTGTGGATACATAATATCGAAATCAATGTTGACCTAAAACGAAACATTAGTATCCATATACAAATAAATAGCTCATGGCTACTTACCAATTCTGAAGCTCTTGCATCGGACAACTTCGGCCATTCTAGGAGAAATGTATGGCTACTTAAATTTTTTATATCTCTTTGCCGTATGTTAAAAGATCTTTTCCATTTTTCGCAGATCGATCCCCAATCATTACATTCTCTTAGTAAGGAAGCTTTCAATGAATTTTCAACTGATTCATCAATTTCTGGAACATCTTTGTTACAAAAATTAGGAGATGTGTGAGTTGCTGCTTTGCTTGTGCTAGGCTCGGAAATCAAAAGCTTTATTCTTTTGGACTTCTTGTTTCTATACTTGGCATAAAGTTTTCCGCTTGCGTTGTTCTTTCCTTTTCTTGAAATGTAATAATAATCCTAAAAATAAAGACATATTATAAGTTAAGAAACTACATAATCAGATACGTTGTTTATATTGTTAATCTTACCCTCATTTCGTTTTCAAGAGGAAAAACGGAACAAATTTCATCCAATATGCGCATATAGTCTTGAGTGTAAAGAGTAACATTGTTGGTTAAAATATCTTCAATAATTATATTAATTATATCATCTCTTTGCTCGTCACTTAATTTCTTATTAACGCTACTACATTCAAGCGCCAGTTTCCCCTTCGAGGTATGTGTTAACAATTCCGTTAGATCCTATATTAAATAAAAAAACTACATTAACTATGCTTACACAAATATTACTCTTACCTTACCTCTGACAAAATTCCTTTGGCTTTTGAGCAGTTCGAACCTGTAGTGTCGGGAGTACCAGGAGTACTTGCAGGTGTCTCGTTGCGTTTCCACCATTCACCTATTTTAGATGGAACTGACATAGTTTCGTCATCAATCCCGAGCTATTGTTATGACAATATTAATACTGAGTTCAACACTGTAAAACAAATAATACGTACCTTTCGTTTTTTCCAAGCAAAGAGCTTTTCTCTGAATTCAACTCGCAGTCCCAATGGTGGCACTGCTTCCTTTAAATCTTCTTTTTTCAAGTACTGCAAACTGCGAAATGTTACATGTGATGCTAAAAGAACAAAAAAGAAAATTCTTTGTTAATTACACTGATTAACTGAAAAATTCATTTTTATTTACTTACCTTTTAATTGTTCAAAAAGCGACTCCATATTTATTCCTTTTAAGAACTCCCTTAACATATAATCGTCCTCATTGTTTTCCGCATCTTGACTGCTGCAATGGTTTGTATCGCGAACCACAACAATATTGCCATCGATTTCTAACAACTCACCAATGATATTTTGAGGATCTTGCGAATTATTATTCATTTTCAATAAATTTTTTGCACAATGCGTCCTTTCTCTTTCAATAACACGGAAAAAATGGTAAATATGCAGCCGATTGCACACGAGTAAAAAAAATGACAACGGTGGTGCATGATTCATACACGGTAGTTCCTAAAATGGCAACGATCGTGTACGATTCATGCACGTCGGTGTACAAAGTAACAACGGTGGTGCATCATTATGCAGGTGGTGGTGCATAATTCATACACGACCGGTGTCATATTGACAACGACAGTGTGTGAATCATGCACCACCGTTGTCATTTTTTACTCGTGTGTAATCGGCTGCAATTACCAATATTAAAAACGCAAAGTTGTCATTTTGAGCACATCGGTGGACAAATTAAGCACGGCTGTTGTTGGTACCGAAAGTTGACCACGTCTCGGTGTCAATTTGAGCACGTTCGTGCACAATTCACCAACAGCCGTTGTTGAAAAATATAACAACGGGTCGTTGCGAAAATGACAACATACGTGCTTGATTTCGCAACGGGATTTTTCCCTCAGTGTATGGCTGTGGGTATACAACCCCGACTACTGGGACATGCGACCCTATTATCTTAAAATCTTAAATGCCTAATTACCATTTATTTGTTGTGGAAATGCGTCTGGTTTGTATTAAAAAAGCATTTCCCATGATAGAAATGAAATGGGTGTTTCATTTTCAGGATTTCTGACAAATATGCTATGTAAGATTCATTGGAAGTTTTTTTCTAACAAAGTTCTATGACCCAAAATTTGCCAATGTTTTAAATTTCAAAAATCTATTCAAAACACTGCGTAATTCTTATTTCAATGCAATTTCCCAGAAACTGGGACATACCTACTTCAGCAAAAAGAAAAATCATATTAATAAGAATTTTTTCGTGTTTGTATCCGGCGCCAAAGTTTTTCACCATTTCTGCAATTGTTACCACAATTTCCGAAGAATTGAATGAAATTTATTTTCATCTATGAAATTCAAATAAGGTCACTTGTCAAATAAATGTCTCAACGTTAAAACACAATAAGAAAAACAACAAACTACCTACTTTAAACGGGGAAAAAGTGTCAGTAACAGCATCTTCATTGTCGTTGACTTCATCACTTCTATTCTCCGAAAAAAAGTGAGAAAAATATGAAAAGCAAGGCAAACAAAAACTCCACACTTTCAATTGTTCGAAAAGAGGTTTTAGGGTAAGGGAACTCCTCTTGGCGAACTTTACACCAAAACATGCAACACATGGTAAACAGCAGCAGCAACAACAACAACATCAACTGTGATAAAGTTCTAGTAACACTAGCAGCAACAATGTCAGCAGAAATAAGGGAAAACAACAACAGCGGCAACAAAAACTTCAAGTGATGATGAACAACACATCCGACAAGGGGGGACCATCAAACAATTTAAGTTCATTCATACAAAAATGCATAGCATGAAACAAGCTGAAGTGACAACAGCAACAAAAACAACGGCAACCACTCAATTCAACTTAAGTCAGGCGACGAGACGAGACGAGACAACAACAACCACAAGTCAAAATGAAACAGAAGACCCTCAAAAACAACAAGAAGTAGAAAAAAAACCGACATTGGACTCAACATCCAAAACACGTACCGCAGCAAATACACAAATTGCCGAATCGTGCTGAATGCACCAGGATTTGTTGTAAATGTTTTGTACGAATGCAATTGTTTGGCCCTTCTTCGGTCTTCATCCCCACGAGATAATCATTGCATTCTCTCACTCTAGTTTTGGTTCTCTCAGAGACAAGTTCAAGTTGTAGTGGGATATATTATGCGACCAAAAGTTCGTTCTATTCCAACAAAGCTGTTACATTTGACGTATTCACGAACATCATGAATGATAAAATTTGAGAGAAAGAGAGTGTAACTGAAAAAGCAAAAGAGGACTCATTTATCATAATTACGAGTAAAAGAATCGTAGTTTTATTAATAAACTTATTAGTGCTGCAGGGAAACAAACAATATGATTCATAAGTTTAGAAGTAATACAATTGTTTCCGGGGCGTTTAGAATACAATTGTTTCCGGGGCGTTTAGAATAACTTTAATATATATTCATTATCCAAATAACGAATATCGACGTTAATTGCAAATAATAGTTCTGATTAAGGTTAGGCAAGTTGTCTTGCGTTAATTTTTATACCCTCCACCAAAAAAAGTATGGAGGATATATTAAGTTCGTCATTCCGTTTGTAACTCATCGAAATAATCATTTTAGACCCAATAAAGTATATATATTCTTGATCAGCGTAAAATTCTAAGACGATTTAACCCTGTCCGTCCGTCTGTTGTAATCACGCTACAGTCTAAACGAATTAAAATAGGAAACTAAAATTTTGCACAGATCTCTCTTTTGTCTGCAGGCAGGTCAAGTTCGAAGATGGGCTATATCGGTCCACGATATCGTATAGCCCCCATATAACGGTACCCCCGATATTCGGTGTTTTGATGATTTTAGCCACATTTTCCAATAGATTTGTCTGAAAATCCACACACGGAGTTCTTTGTGAGCACTTAACCCTGAAACGGAATTGTCTATATAGGTCCACAATATCGTATATCCCCCATTTAACGGTACTCCCCTATATTCGGTATTTTTATGATTTTAGCCACTTTTTCCAATGGAATTATCTGAAAATCCACACAAGGGGTTCCTTGTGAGTACTTTACACGCAGACATAGATTTGTCTTTATAGGTCCACAATATCGTTCCAAATGGTGGAGGGTATTCAAAGTTCGGCACGGCCGAACTTACTGCTTTTTTACTTGTTATTGTTCTCTGTTGCGTCTATTTCCACATTTAAACCTTAGATACCAACAGACCATACCTTAAAAAAACCCAAACCACATCTATACTTTATCCGCATAACCATACCAGAATTTCAGCCCCAGTATAATATTTTAGAAACAACCTGCATATCTCAATTTCAGATAACAACAGAGACCTCAATATCATTTTTGAGGATTTCAGGCCTATTCCTTCCCCAAATACTAAGGTTAATTCTATTTAGTACGTATTTCCAAATCCTCCACGTATCGCCCAAAGCGCACAAAAGATCTTCCAAATACAAAATTTTAGATTTCCAAAACAAACCTTTACCGAAATACCAAATTTAGTACGTATTTCCAAAACCAACTCCAAATCTCAACCCTACACACTAACAGTGACCCTAAAGTCAAATTTCAGATCTCTCCATATCGATGAATCTGGAACTTGAGAAAGGACTTGCTGTGCTCTTGATATAATCGAATGACACGATTGTCTAGAAGACTTTGTACCTGTCTTAATAGTTCGATTTTTTTTCTATAAATCTCTTTGTGGAATTTAGTACCATTAACATATGAATTGGAAAATATGATCTTAAAAAATAATTTTATTTTACATTTAATTTTTTATGAAAATTTTCGACCTAAGAAGGTTCTGTACGAAAACTTCTATGTGTATAAACCTGAACCTGTTCTTCAATTATAAAAATCGGAACATTTATTTTATCTTTAGTATTTCTTCTTTCCGTAGAAATCATTATAGAAGTAACATAGAAAGCATAATATGTTTCCTATTTAGATAAGCTATTTCACATAAGAAGGTTTTTGAACAAGAAAATTTGTAGAAAAACCTGCAAATGATATAATCTGTTGGCCACATACTGTGTTAAATATATCTTAAAATTAAAATTAAGATAGATGTGTTCACATTTTGCTAATATTGTTTGCTTACCGCTGTTGTCACTGTCTGCATAAACAGGGACGACAAGCAATATCTGCAGCAACAACAAAAAAATAACAATAGTGTACATGAACAGCAACAAATTGACTCTTGTGTTGCACTGAGCCAACAAATAAATGCACCACACGACGCAATACAACAACATCAAACCCATACACCAATATTGTTGCGTCACAGACAGTTGGTTGGCTCTTGAAGTGTCCTGTAGTGCAAGTTACTAGAGGCAATATATAATTCGTGCATTAGATTTAAACTATTTAGGTTAAAAAGCTAAATGCTCTTGAATAATAAACTAGCGTGTAGTAATGTAGATGCAAAAAGATAAAAATTTTGTCTGAAGAATGCTGTTGGAAAATCGCTCAGATGTATTAGGAATTTAAATACAGTCGAATATTAACCATATCATCTGTAAACAATATTACTGAGTGTTGGTGCCAGTTTTGCTTAAAATTCATAAGCTATAATACCATTGTGAGGCGACAAGAAAATTATTCAATTATATACAGACCAAGGGAGATGAAAAGCCAATTGCCTCATAATATTAGCAACATTCTTTAAATGAACCTTCTTTAATTTAGCAATTTCGTAAAAAATGGTGGACGTTTTGCATTTTTGGACTTTGTGCATTTGTTTGTAACATGGATAAAGAAGCAAGATAAAGCCATAGCTACTTTGAGGATCTTCATAGGATCACTTTCTGAGTCTTAAAGCCCCCCCACATTCGTAATAAGCACTCCACAACAATGATATTTGGTACCAGATATCTTACAGATCTCGGAAATACCTTTGCCAAATTTTATCGAGATCGGCTCGGATTTGGATATAGCTCCCATATGTATCTATAATCCGATTTCAGGTTTATTGTGCATATAATGGCTAATATCTGTACAAATGGAACGAATTTCGTGACGTACGTATCCATTTAGTGGAACTCGGCTCCGATATATATTTTTATACCCTACAACACTATGTGTTGGGGGTATTATAAGTTTGATTGGGCCAGAATTTATGTAACACCTCGAAATATTGGTTTCCCATATAGGAAAGTATATATGGATCTTCCTAGCTCGGCGAGCTGAGTCGATCTAGCTTTGTATGTCCGTCCGTCCATCTGTCCGTCTGTCCATGTTAATTTGTAATCACGCTACAGGTCGCAATTATGGCCCGATCCTTACGAAATTTTGCACGAAGCTGGGGTTAGGGTCAGAATAGGAGCCTATTTCTTTTGGAGATGATCGCTAAATGTTTAGGGGTTGAAATGGACCAAATATTGAATTTCGCATGTAGCGGAATTTCGCATGTAGCTAGAGTTTAGGGCGGGGAAGAAGCCTACCAATTTGGGTGATAATATTTAGCGGGTAAAAGAGACCATATCTTTTATGTTGAAAAAATTCAAAAATTTCCATTAAACCGTGAATATTTTAAATCCCGGCGAAATCACAAAGCCATCACAAGGTTACTTCTGACCTTTACATTGATGTTAACATCCAACAAATCGGATATATAGCAAAATATGTGCGATATATATGTCTATCAAAGAATATATGCTTGAAAGATCTTTATATGTCGAGAACGGCTGAACTGATTTCGACAGTTCTCATTAATTCAGAATGGCCTCTTGGCAGGAAAGAAAAAACGTCTAAAAAATCGCATAAAAATATCTCTCTAAAGGTAAAAATATTGCTTTTGTAAAATTTTCTCATATGTTTTAAATTTTGTCATATTTTTGGCATATTTTCATTTTGAATCAAACATTTGGTAATGTTTCTACAGTTAACAAAACTAAGTAGTTAGGATATCAGGATATCATATACAGATCGCATTTATGGCTCGATCCTCACGAAATTTTTCATGGGAATAAGATGAGGGTCAGAATAGAAGCCTACTCTTTTTGGAGATGATCGCCATATATTTAGGGGTTGAAATGGACCAAAAAACTGCAAAATTGTCAGCAGGTCGTAATTATCACCAGATCCTCACGCACATTTGAATTGGGCTTACCGGGCATTGCAAAAGCCAAGCAGGTTTGGATGGCCATCCAAAAATATTCAATGTGTAAAATAGTTTGCCAACTTTTGTAGCCTAAATACGAAAATGTCCATTCCAGTGACTTTTTGGAGAATTCACAAATACAGGAAAGACGCACTTCTGAATATTTCGTTAACGCTGATTTCGTTGAAGAATATAGTCAATTGTCTGTATCTCATATAGATGTGTTTCAGTCAAAAACCAATAATAAATGTTAATCTTTTGCCACTTCTGAGAGATTATAGGTCTTTGGGAAATATTGGTTCCAGATCTAGGAAGACCATTTACGTGCAACATCTACCAATAAATTGGAAATGAGCAAATTAGTTTAAGTTGCTATTATTCGAAAATTAGAGAACGAAACCTCATGGTTTTCTTTTATTATTTGTCACAATATCTTGAGGAATTCTTTCGAGTATCTCGCCTATATAAACTGTATCGTTTATTATAGTGTTGTAGGGTATTCAACCGTCGGCCCCGCTCGACTGTAGCCTTTGCTTACTTGTTTTAAATAATCCTTCTCGAAGTGATATCATGCACTCTATAAAAATGTTATTTGGTATAAAAGATATAAAAAGTCGATTCAGAATTGGATATACCTCCAATATATTAGTTCCCTCTGAACTAAATTAGAACTGCTCTAAAGCCAAATAAAAATTATTTTATTATATATAAATTATTTTCTTACGGGAGCTGTATTAAAGATACATAGTTTTGTAGGGTATGATATAGTCGGTCCCGCCCGAATTTTGACTTTTCCCTACTGGTTTAACTTTGTGGATGATATTCCTAAAGTAGACCTACATTGAGTATTTTTTCTCGAAGCTAAATACCCTACTAAGAACCCAAAATGTCAAATTGAAACTCATTTGATATTGGGTTGGGACCGAAATTATGAAAATACTGAAATTCAGGTGCTATCGCAAATATTTAAGAAGTTTTACAAAACTCTGTAAAATTTCATTCATTTGTTTTGATATGATAACTTGTATCTTTATTAAAATAGTTACATAAGCATAAGTTCTGTTTAGAGATAACAAATTAACATGAACCCGCGGATTGGCTGACACAAATAGCTAGATCGAATCAGTTCGTCAGGATATGTAAATAAAAATACTACTCCTTGGGTCTAGAACAAATATTTCGAGGCTGTTACAAATTAACTGGTTTAAATCCTATTAAAAGTTTGATTGGGGACCTAGATGTTTGTAACGGCCTAGAAATATTGGTCATAGACTCTTCTTAAGCATTTCTAATTTCATATCTCGACAAGCTGACTCAATCACATCAGCGTGTTGAAGAGTATAACAGTAGCCTTTTATATGTGAGTTCTCCCAGGCTGCATTTATTTCATTCAGCTTTACAAACGTGAGTTGTATTAATTCAAAAGAAAACTAGTTCCATACAAGTTCCCTTCCCCATTTGATGACTGCCGACACCGCATTTTGACTCCAAGAGGGTAAAACCCACACACACTCACACCTTCTCATAATACAGCCTGTGGAGCAAATAAAAGTTCTTGTTGCCACAGTTTGTTGGAATCGGCCGCGATAGCAAATACGAGTGTTGCAGCCGGTAGCCACTATCCCAGCATACCCCCTACCAAACAACCAATAACTCAAAGACACGATTTTTGTGCAAACTCAATTTAATAGTCTCTTTCTCTCCTGCATTGCTCTTCCTCTCTCAACTGTTTTAGTTAGCTGTGCGTGTTTGTGTGAGAGCGGCGCTCTATCTCAACACGGCTCCAATACGGGAGGGTTAATGTTTTGATTCTTGTCTACAATAGATGTGTGGTTGTGTTGTTCACCCTCTTCGGCCATTCGTATCCATCAAACCATTTAGTTTGATTCAAACCATGTTTGAGGTTCGTTTCAGTTTGTTTTGTGGGTTTCGTCATTTTTCCGTAGTTATACGATTTACGTTCGTTGTTGAGGGGGGAATGAGCTTCAGTCATGTTCGGTTGGTTGGCTGACAGACTGGCTAGAAAGATGAATGCATGCATATCTATGGATGGATGGATGTGTATGACGAGTGGTGTGTGGTGGAGCACATTCAGTTACACAAACTTATTGCTTTGTGTTGCTGTCTGCTTATACTGTTTTGTTGTTGCTACTGCTGCTGTTGCCTGCTTGTGTACAACAATAGCAACACATTGAAGTAGAAGACGAAAACGAAACGAAACACAAAAAATAAAACACACAGAATTCAGTTAGAAGAGATTTTCGCTTGTTGTGGCCCGCGACGATTTGAGCCAATTTAAAGTTGGCAGTTTTGTTTATGCCGTCGTCGTCCGCTAATGCTGTCGCGTTCAATTGTTTTATGAAATTTATCGCGTCGTCATAAACGTTCGTCGTCATCAAATGCAAACATACTTGTGGCGTTAAATTGTCGTGTTTTGTTTTTGTTGTGATTTTGTTTTTCTTCTTCACGTTTTTGTGTGAGCGATCATCATCTATGATTTTGACAACAATTATGACCATTCATAACAAGCCTATTTTATATGCCGATTTCTTTGCGGGATGGTGTGACAAAAAGAAATAAGAAGCCCTTCGAAAGGAAGTTGGTTGTGAAGAGAAGGAAAAAGTCGTTGTTGCGTTGTTCTTGTTGCCGTCGCTAAGGCTGTCATTACCGCCGCGTGTTAAGATACTGCAAATCAATCTTGTAAACGCGATAACGTGCTAAACGTATGCGTGCGTGACACTTTTTTGTACACACGCACCAACAACACACACACACACCGCATGTGTAAGAGTGAGTTTTGGGCGGTTTTTTGTTGTTTTGCCTAAAAAGACGCCTAGTGTGTAGTTTTAAGTGCGTGTTGCGCGTGTGTTTGTTTGACGTGCCTCCTGCATTACCGCCGCAAGAAAATTAAAACGTCGTTGTTCTTCAAAGGCCAATGAAATGTCAATGGAAATTGTAAACAAAAAAAAATATAGAAAGAAAAAATAATAAAAAAATTAAAAAAAAACAATCTTGGATTACCAAAATTAAAACCTAGCGGAGTAAACATCTTTTGGGCGCCAAAATATTTTGCCGCCGGATTTTTGCCGTTTGGAAAAAAAAGTAAAAAAAAAAAATGTAAATTAATTATAGTTTATTGATTGTGAAGTGTATTAGAATATAGTGAATTAAAATATGTAGATTTGATTTTTATATACAACATATGATATTTACGACCGAGGTGTCAAGTGACTTTCCGTTATTGTTTGGATTTTTGCAAAATTTACCGAAATCTTCAAAATACTGAAAATTTGCGTCAAATACCACCTTTGAAATAATTCAACAACAATGAAACAATTTGGCCAAAATAATGCTACTACTGTATATATGGCGGAATCGTTATGGGGGCTATACGAAGACGTGGGCCTGTAAAAGTAATTTTCTGACATTGAAGGTGAAATCCTTTAAGAACTCAAAATACCAATTTTGCAACAATGTCGATGAAAATACTGAAAATCAGAAGGTACAGATATATGGAAACTATGCCTAAACTTGGATCCAAATATAGACAGTTCTTTGTAATGATGCCAATCAACAGCGAGTAAACCTTGTATGTTGCGGTAACCCTTATACGAGAGATTTATTAAAACGACGATCTATCAGTTCTTTTCAATGATGCCAATCAACAGCGAGTAAACCTTGTATGTTGCGGTAACCCTTATACGAGAGATTTATTAAAACGACGATCTATATGACCCATTATCAATACATAAAATTATACAGATTTAAGATACATCTGAGCAAAATTTTATTAACCAACTTCACTTGGTTCGGAAACTAGAGTGATTTCATGATCACATATGTACAGACAAGGCTAAATCATAGATAGTCTAAAATGCTCAATTCGAAGAGCTACAAACGGAATTACAAACTTAATATACTCATCGTACTATAGTGGATATTTAATGATACTTAAGATAGAATAAGGGGCAATTTCACCTTTAATATTCACCAAGAACTTTTTGTTTTTAAAAATCCGAACAATAACAAAAGGTGTCTTTAGATGAAATCTGTTTCAGAACTTGGAATATATCTAGCGACGTCCGTCCTTAGTTCTGTCCATACGCACGATATCCGATTTCACCCAAACTTGGTACAACGAATCAGGTGTGAAGATTGAAAAAATCGAAAAAAAAATATTAAAATTTGTATTAACAAGTAAGCAAGGCCACAGTCGAGCGGGGCCGACCGTTGAATACCCTACAACACTATAATAAACGATACAGTTTATATAGGCGAGATACTCGAAAGAATTCCACAAGATATTGTGACAAATAATAAAAGAAAACCATCAGGTTCCGTTCTCTAATTTTCGAATAATAGCAACTTAAACTAATTTGCTCATTTCCAATTTATTGGTAGATCTTGCACGTAAATGGTCTTTTAGATCTGGAACCAATATTTCCCAAAGACCTATAATCTCTCAGAAGTGGCAAAAGATTAACATTTATTAGTGGTTTTTGACTGAAACGCATCTATATGACATACAGACATTTGACTATATTCTTCAACGAAATCACCGGTAACGAAATAGTCAGAAGTGCGTCTTTCCTGTATTTGTGAATTCTCCAAAAAGTCACTGGAATGGACATTTTCGTATTTTGTCTACAAAAGTTGGCAAACTATTTCACACATTGAATATTTTTGGATGGCCATCCAAAACTTCTTGGCTTTTGTAATGCCCGGTAACCCCCATTCAAATGTGCGTGAGGATCGGGAGCGATAATTACGACCTGCAGACAATTTTACAGTTTTTGGTCCATTTCAACCCTTAAATATAAGGCGATCATCTCCAAAAAAGTAGGCTTCTATTCTGACCCTCATCTTATCTCCATGCAAAATTTCGTAAGGATCGGGCCATAAATGCGATCTGTGTATGATATCCTGATATCCTAACTACTTAGTTTTGTTAGCTGTAGAAATATTACCAAATGTTTAATTCAAAATTAAAATATGCCAAAAATATGACAAAATTGAAAAAATATGAGAACATTTTACAAAATCAATATTTTCATCTTTAGAGAGATATTTTCATGCGATTTTTAGACGTTTTTTCTTTCCTGCCACGAGGCCATTCTGAATTAATGAGAACTGTCGAAATCAGTTCAGCCGTGCTCGACATATAAGAGATCTTTCAAGCATATCTTCTTTGATAGACATATATAACGCACATATTTTGCTATATATCCATTTTGTTGGATGTTAACATCAATGTAAAGATCAGAAGTAACCTTGTCATGGCTTTATGATTTCGCCGGGACTTAAAATATTCGCGGTTTAATGAAAAATTTTGAATTTTTTCAACACAAAAGATATGGTATATTTTAGCCGCTAAATATTATCCGATGATCCCAAATTGGTTGGCTTCTTCCCCGCCCTAAACTCTAGCTACATGCGAAGTTCCGCGTCGATTGGTCTATAATTGCGACCTGTAAAGCTACTGCAAAATCCGATATTTTTTCAGTTTTTGGTCCATTTCGACCCCTAAATATTATGCGATCATCTCCAAAAGGAATAGGGTTCTATTCTGACCCTAGCCTCCATCCTGAATTTCGTGAAGATCGGGCCATAATTGCGACCTGTAGAGTGATTACAAATTAACATGGACAGACGGACAGACGGACATACATAGCTAGATCGACTCAACTCGGCGAGATAGGAAGATCCATATATACTTTCCTATGTGGGAAATCAATATTTCGAGGTGTTACATAATTTTTGGCCCAATCAAACTTATAATACCCCCAACACATAGTGTTGTAGGGTATAAATAGACTAGCATCCAGTATCTCGCCAACTTAAGGCAAAAATTATTAATGATAACTCCTTTAAAATAATTTTTACCATGCTATGGAGCTAGTGTAAAAAAGAATACTCGTATATCGCACACCACAAATATTCGAAAAAACAATAAATAAATAAATTAATTAAAAATCTTAAATAAACAATAAGCAAAGGCTACAGTCGTGCGGTACCGACCTTGTCCTTTAGGTCCAAATCCATTTTGAAAGATTTCGGTTTTGAAACAATTCCATACAGCAAAACGCAAATGCTTCGTTTTGTTTTTGACCCCATATTTACGCTCTCTGTCATGCTGATTGGCATTGAAAACAATTTCACACGAAAGTTGTGGTCTATTTTACCCGCTAAATATTATCCAATGATCATCCAAAATGCTAGACTTCTACCCTGTCCTTAAATCTCTCCTCATGCAAAATTCCGTATCGACAAAATAAATATACATCTTCCAAAACAATAGACTTTAATTCTGACCCTAATCCTACCCCCATGGAACATTTCGTAAGGATCGGAAATAATTGGTACCCTCATAGTACCCTCAACACATAGTGTAGTAGGGTGTAAAAACTTTACAAAATCTCCAATTCCGAATTGTTGTCAAATTGAAAATAGTCGCATGCGATTAAAAATCTGATAAAAAATAAAAAATGTATCAAAAACTCTTAACTTTTTTAATATCATATTTTTACTGCTAAGAGTCCATTCCATTGGTTTCTAAGCGGATAAACTAATATCAATTTCTTTTACATATATAATGTGCCTATTTTGCTAAATATCCGATACATCCGATGTCACTACAGCATCACTGTAATGGTCAGGAGTGGCCTTTTAATGTTTTTGTGATTTCTATAATATATATATTATATATATATTTCTATATTCGCGGTTTAGTGGAAATTTTCGTATTTTTGTACATATTTTTACTACTAAGAGAACATTCTAAATTGGTGAGACTTGTCAAAATCCGTCCGTCGGTTCTCGATTTATAATCGGATTTACTAATATCAATTTCTTTTACATATATAATGAACCTATTTTGCTATATATCCGATACATCCGTGCCTATTTTGTTATATATCCGATATTCGCAGTTTAGTGGAAATTTTCGTATTTTTGTACAAAAAAGTGCAGACTTCTGCCTAGCACTAAACTATAACTCTATGCAAAATTTCGCCTAATTGTGGTCTGTAGAGCAGTTGCAAAATCAGGATTTTGTTTATTTTTAGTCCATTTCAAATATATACAGAGTGAGATGAAAAACTGCACCCAACTTCAGACTGCTGTCATTTCTAAGCCACTCGTCCGACAGCTGTTAAAATTATTCTAGTGACAGCTCATTATATTATTTACAAGCGAACAAAAGCATTTTGGTGAGAATTTTCCAGAAAAATAGTTCTTCGTGATGGCATTCAAGCGCGATAGTGTGATTTCTTTATATTTGGCTGGAAAACCACAAGTGGCTATCGTTAGAGCACTCCAGCATTAAAATGTGAATATTGAAAAAATAGCTCGGGGTAAAGCTATTGAAACTCCAAAGAGTGCAAGAACTTACACCGCAGCAGAAAGAAAATAGACTTCACAGAGCTAAAGAGTTGCTTCGTTTGGCCCAAAGTGGTGAACTGCCGAAGTTGGTTTTCTCCGATGAGAAAACATTTGTTGTCCAGCAGTTTGTAAACAAACAAAATGATCGTTTTTTCATTCCAAAGAGGTTAGCTAAAAATGTGCACCTTCGGTTGGCCACCAGAACTCAAGCGCCTGCCATGGTTGTGGGGGCAGCCATAACAGCAGACGGTCGCTCTCCGCACGTATTAATTGACCAAAAAAAAAATCAAAATTAATGCAGAATATTATGGCGAAAATATTCTGGAGGGTGTATTAAAGCCTTGGGCACGTAAACATTTTGGCCGCAGACCTTGGGCATGCCAGTAGGACTCAGCTCCATCGCACTCAGCACGCGCCACCCCACAAGAATGGTTACAAAATGAGGTTTTTCGCTTCATTTTCATCGCATAATGGCCACCAAAATCTCCAGATGTCAATCCTTTGGACTATTGTGTCTGGAGTATTTTGGAAAACAAGGTTGGCACTAAAAAATACCAAAGTGTCTATCACCTCAAGCAAGCGCTTCGCCGGGAATGCTGCTCCACAGGCCACAATTATCTTGGATCATCTCCAAAAACAATACTAACTCTCACCCCACCTCCATGCTAAATTTCGTGAGGATCGGGTCATAAATTGACCTGTAGCGTGATTACAAATTATTACATAAAAAACGGATGGACGGACATACATTGCTGGATCGTTACAGCCCGGCGAAATAGGAAGGTCCATATACGTATATGTATACAATATTTCGAGGTGTTATATAATTGTTCGCCCAATCAAAATTATAATACCCCAACACTTAGTGTTGTACAGGGTTGTCCATTTTCGACGGACCCATCTGGCAACGCCATAACTTTTGACAGAGATGTCACATCGCTTAATGACATACCGCGTTTGAAGCGTCAGTCCAAGCAGATTTTTACCATGAACCAATACACGCCACGCGAGCCCTCTAAAATAGTTGAAATTTACATTCAACAGAAGAAGTCAATTGTGAAAACTCAACAAAACATTAAAAAATGTGAGAAGTGCGCCGAAAAATTTTCGAGTGGTAAGGCTCTTTCTAATCCAAAGAGGCCATATAAAACTCGACCAAGGCGATCGGCCGATAATATCGCTGCCGTACGAGCCAGTGTTGAGAGGTCCCTAAGAACTTCCCAAAAACGCCGTTCTCAGCAGTTGGGCATGGCACGGTTCATTTTACAACGGATTATTCGCATTGATTTACATTTGTTCCCGTACAAAATTCAATTGACGCAAAGAATGTTGCCTGCGGATAAGCCTCGTCGATTGAAATGGGCCCAAAAATCATGGGCCCGTCGAATGTAGGCAACCATGTAGTGTATAAAATTCATTAGTTTTATTTTAAGAATACTCTTTTCTAATTTTTGTTTTGTCCACTTCTGGTATTGAACCACACCAACCACACACCGTGTTACTGTGGACACATAGTCGTAGGGTTTTTAAAAATCTTACATCTGCATCAACAACATATTATATATTAGAAGTTTTTTCTTCATTTGCCGACGGCTAGTCTCGAACTTACAATCTAATTAAGAACTTGGAACTTGAGATATTTAGTTGTTTTGTTTTACAATTTCTTATTTTTGCTCGATAGTGAAGAACAATTACAGGGATATAGTATGCATGATTATGGTTTCGCAAGGAGCCACCAGTAGTAGTTCCCTCGGTTAGTTAGTCATGGAGTATTTTCTCATGGATTTACCTAAAAACATTACTTTGACAAAATTGCTTCTTACCCAAGCTCAGAATTAGAAGAATGAACCATAAAAGAGTTTTGAGTGTTGAATCTTTCCGAAACCATGGTCTCATCGAAATTTTTCTCCCATAACAATTTTACGTTCGGATTTTAAAATATCAAATTAACTACAGTCTCGCGTAAACGCCGATTCGGTCCGGCCGAAGCATTAAAGTCCCATAAAATTGGTGATAATATTTCATATATCCAAATGTATAATATCAGTCCAATTTGGATGGATGGATATCAGTCCCACTTGACAGAATGAAGCTTCTAGGCTTCATGTCTGTCAAATTTGGCAACTCTTGTTGAGATCGATTTAGATAAATTTAGAACTCTATTTTTTCCGCACTAATTTTATGTAAAAAATTGACTAACGTTTTTCAATTAAGTTGAATTTTGGATCGAACAATCAAGTTATTTAAAGCAAATTTCCAATATTGACAATAGTTTTATCATGTAGCCCTGCTAAATATGCATGGTGAGGTAGGGTATCATATAGCCGGTACCGCTACGTAATTGGATATGGAATTCGCAATGGGCATCACCTTCAAAAATCGATAATTGTCTATAGAGGTCAGTGTTTCTGTAATTTTTAAAATTATAGCAGCATTTTTCAGTTGAGTTTTTTTTTCCATTTTGCAAGTTTGTTCTTTGCATATGGTAGAGGATATTGAAAATTTGGTCCGCCAGGACTTCTGCTTCTTTTTTACTTGTTATATATTCTGTTGTTTTTTTTTTCTTTAAAATCGTACTGATCAAGCTGGGTTGCTGAAATAATTATCCGCTTGGCTATTATCCATAGATGGCGCTAGTTCACAACCCGGCTTTTTATGTAAAGAGTGGAGACCGTATACTAATCAATTAAACTAATTAATTGCATTAGTTTTGAATAAATGTTAAAATAATAATCCAGAATAAGTGTATAATGTTTGGAAGGAATTAAAAAAATCACCTTATATGGATAATATATCATAACTGAGCTTCTTCTGGTGGAAAATATCTAAGAGAAATTTGACGATGGATTAGTTAAGTTCTTTATATTTTCAACCGATTACACAAATTTAATGGGGACTCTCAATATTCAGTATATTTATGATTTCCGAATTTCGTATTCGAAATTCGCAATAGATACTTCAAACTACGACAAAAAAATTGCATAGGCAGGTCCCCATCTTCTTTTCGGCATTTTGATGATATTAGCGACATTATTCAACGGAATTGTATTTATTTTCATATTTTAAGGTCCTTATGGGTACTACAACCTATGACAAAAAATTACTTACACAGGTCCACGTCTTCGTATAGTACCTATATAATGGTTTCGCCCAATATACGGCATTTTTATGGTATTCTTTCTATTCTTTCAAATTTCGTATTTAAATCTTGATATGGGTACTAAAGCCTATGCCAAAAATGGCGTATGCAGGTTCACGTCTCCATATACCCCCGGTACCTAGAACGGTACCTCTCTTTATTCGGTATTTTAGATTATATTTATTCGGTATTTTAGATTTAAGGTCCTTATGGGTACTACAACCTATGACAAAACAAGTAAGCAAAGGCTACAGTCGAGCGGGGTCGACCGTCGAATACCCTACAACACTATAATAAACGATACAGTTTATATAGGCGAGATACTCGAAAGAATTCCACAAGATATTGTGACAAATAATAAAAGAAAACCATCAGGTTTCGTTCTCTAATTTTCGAATAATAGCAACTTAAACTAATTTGCTCATTTCCAATTTATTCTGGAACCAATATTTCCCAAAGACCCATAATCTCTCAGAAGTGGCAAAAGATTAACATTTATTATTGGTTTTTGACTGAAACGCATCTTTATGAGATACAGCCATTTGACTATATTCTTCAACTAAATCAGCGTTAACGAAATAGTCAGAAGTGCGTCTTTCCTGTATTTGTAAATTCTCCAAGAAGTCACTGTAATGGACATTTTCGTATTTTGTCTACAAAAGTTGGCAAACTATTGCACACATTGAATATTTTTGGATGGCCATCCAAAACTGCTTGGCTTTTGCAATGTCCGGTAACCGTCATTCAAATGTGCCTGAGGATCGGGCGATAATTACGACCTGCTGACAATTTTGCAGTTTTTTGGTCCATTTCAACACCTAAATATAAGGCGATCATCTCCAAAAAAGTAGGCTTCTATTCTGACCCTCATCTTATCCCCATGCAAAATTTCGTAAGGATCGGGCCATAAATGCGATCTGTATATGATATCCTGATATCCTAACTACTTAGTTTTGTTAGCTGTAGAAATATTACCAAATGTTTAATTCAAAATGAAAATATGCCAAAAAAATGACAAAATTGAAAAAATATGAGAAAATTTACAAAATCAATATTTTCATCTTTAGAGAGATATTTGTATGCGATTTTTAGACGTTTTTTCTTTTCTGTCAAGAGGTCATTCTGAATTAATGAGAACTGTCGAAATCAGTTCAGCCGTTCTCGACATAAAAGATATCTTTCAAGCATATCTTCTTTGATAGATATATATGTCGCACATATTTTGCTATATATTCGATTTGTTGGATGTTAACATCAATGTAAAGATCAGAAGTAACCCTGTCATGGCTTTGTGATTTCGCCGGGATTTAAAATATTCGCGGTTTAATGAAAAAATTCGATTTTTTTTTTTTAATACAAAAGATATAGTCTATTTCACCCGCTAAATATAATCCGATGACCACCCAAATTGGTAGGCTTCTTCCCCGCCCTAAGCTCTAGCTACATGCGAAATTCCGCGTCGACTGATCTATAATTGCGACCTGTATAGCAACTGCAAAATCCGACATTTTTTCAGTATTTGGTCCATTTCAACCCCTAAACATTTGGCGATCATCTCCGAAAGAAATAGGGTTCTATTCTGACATTAACCCCACCTACATTTTAAATTTCGTGAAGATCGGGTCATAATTGCGACCTGTAGAGTGATTACAAATTAACATGGACAGACGGACAGACGGACAGACGGACGGACAGACATACATAGCTAGATCGACTCAGCTCGGCGAGCTAGGAAGATCCATATATACCTTCCTATATGGGAAACCAATATTTCGAGGTGTTACATAAATTCTGGCCCAATCAAACTTATAATACCCCCAACACATAGTGTTGTAGGGTATAAAAATGCTTATGCACGTCCACATCTTTATATAGCCCACATATAACGGTTTTCATTTAAAAAGTATTTTTTGATGAAGTTGTTTTTAAGATTTTAAAGTTCCCTCCAAATCGTGGAGGGCATTAAGAGTTCGGCCTTTGCTGAATTTTTACTTCTTTATTATGAATATTCTATAAAAGTAAAGTATGCTAAACATCGTAAAGGTATGCTAATTAATAATACGTTTAATAATACGTTTTAAATAAATATAAGTTTTCCAAATATTAATAGATGGCGCTCATTGAATGGAAAACCTTTGTAGTTCGCGCCTTTGCCCTTGTAGCTTTCAAATTACAGTCTCTCTCATTCTCTCTTTGAATATTAATAGCCTAGGGTATCTATTGATAATATTTGACGAATATTCTTCTACGACTGACAAACAGGTAGCGCCACCTAACAAACATTTATAAAAGTTGTTACAAAAAATAATTTATATATATATTTTTATTTTCAGAAAAGCAGAAAACAATAAATTCAAATTCAATGACAAACAATTTCTTTTCCAAAACAAAATAACAACAAAATCACCAGAAAAAAAGAGTGCAACAAATAATGTGTGAAAAATATTTCTGAAACAAAAAAATTTTGTTTCGTGACATTGAATTAATTTGGTGACAAATATATAAAACAATTTGGAAAATTACAAAACAAATAAATAAAAATAAACAAACAAACAAATAAAGAAGCAGCTGTGCCGGTTTTCTAGTTCTCGTTCTAATGAATGGCAGGTTGGTCATTTCGGATTTATCTTATCTGCCAAGTGATTGTGCTCTTTGGAACACACGATACGATATGTCGACCTCGTAAAAAAAGAGTTGAATTGAATCGAATCATCAGCAAGAACACTTAGCTGCAGAAGAAAGCCACAGCGAGCGCCGGTAAAGTGATTGTGAGGAAACGTGTGCGTGAGTGAGTAGCGAGCGTGTGTGTGCGTAAGACAAGTGTTTGGCAACAAATTTGCCATTAATTTTGTGATTAAACAATTCCGCCTTCACACATAGACACACACACACCTAAAAGAAATCAAAAAGAAATACAAAATCCGAAGATATAAACCTAAAGCAACAATTCCCCCAAAAACGAAATCCCACCTTACCGTCGGTACGGGAGAAAGGTGTTCGGAAATCATCAATTGATAATAAAATGAAACACACCAACAAAAGCAACACATAAAAATAGAACAATCAAAAAAAAAAAAAAAAAAACACAAAATTAATGATAGCTAATTGAGTAGCATGTTGAGGGTGGTGATAAAAAGCAAAAGTGGTTAAGTAATAGAAAAACAATTTTTTTTTTTATCGAAATTGCAAAAAAAAAAAAAAAAATTTTGCAAAATGCCGTCATTTCCAATAAAGGTTAAACTAAAATCTTCAAAATCTTCATGATGTTTTGTGCATTTTTAAGAATATTGAGAAATTAAAAAAATAAGATATTCAAACAAACAAGTGCAAGTGTTTTGAATTTTTTTCTTTCTACACATCTAAGTGTTCTGGTTTCTATTTGAAAACCAAACAAAAAATTATTTTGTTTTATCAATCAAAAACTGAAAGAAGAAAATATTCTATAAGAATTATCTTTTAAAAATTGTCGTTTAAAGAAAAAGTGTGCTAAATAAGTTAAAAATTATATATTTAAATAATAACGTGGAAACTCCCTCATCCGACATTGCCGTCGGCTAAGCTAAAGTCTTTGGAATTTTGATTATTTCTTTGCCGAACCCGGATCTACTGCAGCAGCAACCAGCAACATGGATTGTGACTATTCTAAATTTCTATATAAACGTAAGTTGCCTTATCCACACACACACACATATCCAAAGATAAGTCGACAATAAGTCCATTATGAACAATCAATATTTTTTTTTCAAATAAATCTATCTATCTTCTATCTATCTATATATATAAATGTAAGTTGTGTTAGTTACTACGCTTATAACTCAAGATCCGCTGATCCGATTTTAACGATTCATACAAATTCGGAATTGTCTCTTTTCCGAAAAGGATAATATTCAAAAAAATCGCGTAAAAATGTGATATATTAACATTTTCATTTTGACTTTTGAAATGTACAATAGTAATGTTTTATTTTGCATGATTTTTTTTTTTCCATTTTGACTTACTTTTTTCTAATGTACATTTGTAGTGTTTTTTTTATATTTTTTTTTTTAATTCGAATATTAATACCAATTTATTTAATTGACTTGATTTCTTGAGAACTGAAATTGATGGCGGGTTGCATGGAAGTCAGTCAAATGATATCGAAATAACTTAACGCGGTTAGACCAATGTTAAAAGATAATTACTTTTTCAAAATCGCTAAAAAACACGATAAAAGAGATCTCATGGCAAAAATTCTCAAATCGGGAAAAATCGAAAAAAAAAATTCAATGGAAATTGACTAGATATGGAAATAATCCATCCAATGAGAACTTAAAATGCAAAATTCATTGGGACTGCAACCAGTGAAATACCGAATATGAAGAGCACTGTTATATACGACCTATATAAAATAGTGGAGCAAATTGAAAATTTGGAAAGAAAAGGATACATTTCCTCGGAAAATTCTTCCGAAACCTTAAAAGTAACCTTAACTCCCATGAAACGTTATACGGTGACTATGCGCTATCATCAGTAGTCAGTTTGGTTGGTACATAACAATCCCAAAAAGGGGGGATCAAACGTTTTTAGGGTCCATTTTATATAGTTTAACCAAACACAAAGGGCCTCAAATATTTTGCTCTATACTTCGCAAAAGTTACCATAGAGTTTTAAATTTTTCCTAGGGGTTTCATGAATAATCAGTTGTTCAAAATATATATCAGATGTATATCAAATGTTGGTAATTTGAGATTTTAAGAAGAACAACACATTTTTTCAAATAATTATAAGAATAGGACCATGCTTTGGTATAACCCTTATATGTGGACCTATTTCTTTCATATTACAATAATCCGCCCAATGAGAACTCAAAATGCAATTCATTGGAATTGCAATCAGTGAAATACTGAATATAAAGGGTGCAACATGGTAGAGCGAATTGGACATTTAGGAAAAAAAAAAAAACTTTCAAGATATCTTAAATCGCTTTTGCAGGTCACGATATATGACCCCCGGATAAGGGTACACTCCTTTTTCAAGTATAGTTTACATTTTAACCATATTTTACTCATACGCATTTTAGCAAAAGTTGGTAATTTGAGAAGAAACCATCCTCGCAAAAAATGATCACGTTTTGGTATAACCATTATATAATTTAAGCTATATTCGGGGTTTTCGACATTTTTCTTTCATTTTTCAGGCCTTTATTTGGCATCTTTGTTTCTACGGGTGTAAAAAACCTCTTCTCATAATATTTTGATTTTTGGAGTAGAGTCCATCTTGGTCTTGATCACATTCATCAATTGATTTGGCTAAAAAATTGTATTTAGGCTACTCTGGGATAGAGAATCGTCTTACAGATAATAATCCACATAGGCATTTATTTGAGTATAGTTCCCACATTAGTGTACCCGCAAATTCACCTTCCTAACCAATGTTTGGTCAGAAAAAAAAAAATTGGTATACTATTGAATTTTTAACTCTCAAGAGAATATTGGCTGGGAACGTAGATGTGGGATGTACGTCTACATGCTTTGATCTCCGAAATATCAAATTGTGGCAGAAACATGAAAAAATCACGAATATTATTTTTTGGATCGTTATTGAATTATACTATGAAGAAAAATATGGACTTTATGGGTTTTCCAACACACAATTTAAATGACAAAAATAAATAAATTCCTATCTTAAGGTAATGGGTGTAAAAGACCAATTATCTTTAACTATTTTGAAATCATTCAGATCAGTGTTCTATAATGCCTTAAAAAATATGCATTAAAAACTAAAAGTAGGGGCCGGCAACGCGGACCGGGCCAGCAAGTAATTTTTATAAATAAATCATTTTTCTAGGGAAGAAGACTTTCATCTCCTTTACACAGAAAATCTGCTTGCTATAGAAAACATATAAATTATGTTCTGCCTATAGAAGTAAAATTTATAATATTGAAAATATGGCAGCAAAATATTGTCTCTCAATAGAAGACTTGGCCTTTTATCTATTGATGTACATCTATGTTTCCTATGGAATACATGGAAAAAGTTTTTGAAAAAACTTTCAAAAATTTTCACTCTTAAGAAGGTCATCTCTCTAGAAAAGACTACAATTTTTCGATTTTGAAAAAATCGTAACGACTTTTGGTAACTGATTTTCGTTTATAAGATCATAGAGCTTTGGTTGGCTTGTAATTTCCATACGAGACAAATAAACTCATCGAAATAACGGGTTTACACCCTAGGTCGCATTGTTTGTCTTTGCGTATGAAAGCTCACGAAGGGAATATCCTATTTTGTCCAATAGCTTTATCAAACTCAGATCGAGTTTGGAGATGGGTAAAATCGGACCACTTCTTCTGGTACCTAAACAAAAAATTTATCATTTTCAAAGAAAAACATTTTTGAATTAACCTCAGGGGGGATGCGATTTTTTTACCAACTAACTCGAATTCGCAATCCCATTTCTCACTTTCGGATTGCCATATCCGAGTATAGGATAATCATACTCTACTTTCGGATTTGAATAACTATATACTTCGAATTAAGAAGTCAAAGTCGATCGAAAGTTGAAAGTTCTATTCGTTTGATAGTTAGCTAACGAATACGAATAAAAACGGGGAAAAATTATTGAAATTCAAACAACTGCATAAAACACTGACAATTGAATGAAAAACTTTCGAGGATATTGAACCATTAGCTAAAGCGTATTATATAATAATAAAGTGAGTTGAACCGTTATATGGGGGCAATACCAAAACGAAAAATCCATATAGGCTTGTTATGTTTTGTGAGTTTTAAATACCACGTATGTAACAATTATGTGGAAAATGTGGCTTATATAATCGAAATGCCGAATATCGGTGGGTATCGTTATATAGAAACCGTGGACCAATATGGACAATGTTCTAATAACGAACATTCAAATACCGAATTTTAAATAAATCCGACGAAAAATGTGGCCTAAATCGTAAAAATGAGAAATATCTGAAGGTACCGTTATAAGGGCGCTATATATAAACGTGGACCTATACAGACATTGTTCAGCTACTGCCTATTGTAGCTGAACAATGTCTGTACAGGTAGAAACCCTTGCAAACTCTTAATACCATATTTGGAAAAATTTCGTTGAAAAGTACCATATATAGGGAGCTATCGTTATATGAGGGTTATACGAAAACGCGGACCGATACCTACACAATACAATTTATTGTGCCAAATTTCTGTACGTCAATGTGGTCTGTATCATGATACCACCAAACAGGCAGATATATTTGAATCGACTTACTATTTAATGGGTTCTACGACAAATGCTGAGAGGTTTTACAAACGGAATGAATAATTGAATATACCCTGATTTCCATGATGGAGGATCAAAGCAAAGCCACTTTCAGACAATAATCAATTCTATGGGGGAACATCCACAGTTGCCTAAAGGCAGCAAATGAATCCATTTTGTTAGGCACGTGAAACGTAATTATTTCTAATTTTTGAGTTCTGCCTTGTTTTTTATACCCTACAACACTATGTGTTGGGGGTATTATAAGTTTGATTGGGCCAAAAATTATGTAACACCTCGAAATATTGGTTTCCCACATAGGAAAGTATATATGGATATTCCTAGCTCGCCGAGCTGAGTCGATCTAGCTATGTATGTCCGTCCGTCCGTCCGTCTGTCCGTCTGTCCATGTTAATTTGTAATCACTCTACAGGTCGCAATTATGGCCCGATATTCACGAAATTAAGAATAGAGGTGGGGATAGTGACAGAATAGAACCCTATTTCTTTTGGAGATGATCGCATAATATCTAGGGGTTGAAATGAACCAAAAACTGAAAAATTTCCTGATTTTGCAGCTGCTCTACAGGTCGCAGTTATGGACCAATCGAAGCGGAAGTTGGTATGGTTCTAGAGCTTAGGGCTGGGCAGAAGCCTTCCAATTTTGGTGGTCATCGGATAATATTTAGTGGGTGAAATAGGCCATAACATTTATGTTAAATAAAAGTCGAATTTCCATTAAACCGCGAATATTTTTAATCCCGGCAAAATCATAAAAAGATGAACAGGTCAATTCTGACCGTTACGTAGATACCGATAGTAAATATATCAAATATATTTAGCGGA